CGGCAGGACTGATTCGTTGCAGCCGTGCGCCAGCGCCCAAATAAGGCCTTACGCAGAACGTTTTGAACCCCGTAATAAGCGGACATCCTTGCTGGATTCCTGCTTCCCCCATGCTTCTATCATGCTCTTGGTTCAGCGCCGGCCCAGCTCCTACACTGCTTCTAATTTTGACTGGGATATATTTTTTGTCAATGAAATATTTTTCATCACGTCAGTGATAGATTTTTTAAGCCAAGAGAAAATTTTTTCAAACTAAGGACATGATTTTTTGAGTTGTTAATAAATGAATGAATGTCATATTTTTTTACATTTTTCTAATTTTTAACTGTAAAGTGTTGTTTTATCATTTTTAAACGAAAAATAAGCAATTGTGGTAAAGGGACCAAGGGTGGGCGCCTTGCCCCAAGCCCATGGGCCCATTGCTCCAGGGGTGGGGCAATGGGCCCATTTTGACACTTTTTACAAAATGGGGTTTCATTAAAAACTGAATGAATCTATAGGCGTCTAATTCACATCATACATTCCTCATTAGTTGTACCTTTAAACAAAACAAAGAACCACTTCGTATCAATTAAAACTTCATCAAAAATTTAGTTTAAAAAAAGGGGGGGGCACGCTGCCCCATGTAGCCATATGTAACTGATGATAATTTTACTGCGCCATTATACCATCATAACAATTTATTGTACCTCGAACATGAGACTCACTTTTTATGCCGTCGTCATCACATGGTCGTCGGCATATAGTGTCTCAAACGATAATAAGTAAATAGCATGTAATTTACAATGATATACCAAGACCGAATAAGGAATTTAAATTGTTGACAATTCACTTTTTGCGTAAACTGCCTCGCTCGTTGAGGAGAGAAGAACGGGTGCTGCTGTTCACTCGTTTCAAGACACACATGGCGGAGCTGTCATGATCAATTATGCTTCTTTTCTTGCTACATATTCTGTGTCTCGACCTCGACGATGATATTAGGTTCATAAGATTATAGCATTCGCAGTGCCAGCCTTTTTATTATCATTCGGTAACATTGTAACAACAATTTTGTAGAAGACGGTGAGAAAGTGAATTTTGTTTAGTGATCGGGGAGAAGGCCCGAGATTTAAGCTGATATGATTTATCAAAACAAATATAATAGTTAAGAGTTTTCATCATAAGAACAGCTGTGCTCAAGAGCACCTCACTTATTTGTTTTACAGTTTATTATACTCATTGTGTTGAGCTTATTGTCGATGGAAGCAAGATACAGTGAGTAACAGAAAAATACATCCACGAGAAATTGAATAAAGGAGTTTAATCATGAAAAGTTACATTAAAGCAACTAAAGCTTAGTATAGAAAAGTATATATTAATTATTTTATATTTAATTAAGTTGAGTTAATCTAAATTAATTTAAGTTTAACAGATAACAGAGCAGAGTTAACTTGGGTACAGTTTAGATTATCAGTTGTTTAATAATGCTTAATTACTTTCTAGGAATTTGATTTGATTCCCTTGCTCATTGCAACTTTTAATGTAATTCAACCAATGTTCCACACATCGAACTTAATAATAACTTTTTAATTATAATGTTTGGATAATAGGTAATCGTAGTAATTGTTATTCTGCTTCGCCTAACAGGATAATTTACTTGATGCACTCATCCTGTGGGCGGTAATGCTTTCAGAGAGAATTACTTATAATAAAAGAACTTGTAAAATATGCACTGCTCTTATATACGCTGCACTCTGTTCATTTGTGACAAGCATACGATAGAACTTCTATATAAAAAACAAATTTAAATTAATTAAAATTAAGAAAATTTAAGTAATGTCGTAAAATATACATTTCTTCCATTATTTTATGCAATTAGGATTTTTTAATGTAAAAATATACCAGAATCCATTATCTTCTGACAAGCCTGAGGGTCAACCAGCTTACAAAGATGCTTAACGTTACAGTTTTAGCTTCATTAAACGCAATAGAAATTTATTTCATACAGAACATGACTGAGCGCCACTACCATGAAACTATGCGAAACTTCATGAAACTATTTCTCAAACAATGCACCGTATAAAATTTTTATTTCGCATTACATTCTGAAAATATTATTCCCTATCAACGCCAAATTCAATTTCTACAAGTACTTTAACTCCGATCGCAATATGATATTCAGATTTGAATTGCGGAAAAAAATAACTATAGTCGTGAAACGAATCGTCAAAAAATAAATGAGATTTTATTTTCGCCAAATTACTTCTACGCGCGCTCAAAATGTCTTGAAGTTGTGAAACACATTGAAATGACTTCCATAAGACAATATATAACCTCTGTCTACACGTCTTCGATGATCCAGATCCCGTTCTAACTGCACCCTCACTCGGGAAAACATTTTATATTTGTTTTTCGTGAAGTCCGAACTCTGATGAGGTAAATAAGATACAAATCTTATGTCGGAGGTTCCATACTACCGGGAATTATATACGCGGAAACAGATAAATATCGCACTATTATTTTTAATTATAAATCGCTCATCGTGTATCAGTGATGAATCATCTCACCGCTTAAACCTGCCTGCTTTTCGTGCATCATTGTTAATAGCTTCCCCATAGGGAAAATAAACCGCTATTTTGATGACATAAATAGCTACTAATAGCAGAACTTGACGTCTCTAGGGGATAATAACACTTATAAAAAAACATCCCTCAAATACCAGGCAGAGAAATAGCGAGTTACCAACAAATCCCCCTCAACTGAGGGCTGCACGCTGCGCAGTTACTGATGAGGCGCCCACAAATCCCCCTCAACTGAGGGCTGCACGCTGCGCAGTTACTGATGAGGCCCCACAAATCCCCCTCAACTGAGGGCTGCACGCTGCGCAGTTCTCACGCTCGCGGCCGTTCTGAGGGCTTGGTGCAGAACATAAACTTCTTCATCAACTTTTTTACGCTTCCCGCCATGTCTTCGTTGCACGGGCTGATTATACGGGACTGCAAATGCCATTATGATTAGTCTGTCGTACAAATATTTTAAAAGACTTTTATTTTCCGTCCTCAATATAAATTGCTTGACTAACGTAATGCAAGATGCGTCAATAGGAACTAACATTTCGAATCTAGAGCGCTTTTTTATTGGCATGAAATATGACCCAAAAAAATACCATGGATGATATTTCAAGATGAAAAAATTTCATTAACCAGTCAACGGAGTACACCCACATAATTTGCGAGTTAACTGCACATCGTGATCATAATTATTTCTTTCTCGCGAATAAAATCAACTAATATCTATGAGACTCGCTCGTGCCGTTGATTAAAGTTGACTGCAATAGGCTTCAATAGAAGTTAAATGGTTACGGAAATACAGGCAACTGCGCTGCAAAAATGTTGCAATTTTTTAGGAAGCTCCAATAGTAAAATAGGAAATGAACACAAACTCTTTGAAAATAATGAATTATAGTAGGCATATTTATATGCACTTCGCGTTCACGCATATTAACTCACTGCAAATAAATAACACCCAAGATACACTAGCCACAAGGTTAGTTTGATGCGAGGCAGTTTGGCGAAGACTTCATCTGCCGCCAGCAACAAGTAACAAGACGCGCTGTTTGATGGACGTGCAAAGCTGCAAGTAATTACAACACAACAGACATTCACAGCACGTCCTCGTGCTCTTGTTGAGTTTAACTATCGTTTGAGTAAACTGCATGACTAACGACAACCAACAATGTTTATACAATGAACAGCATTACGTCAAAATTCAACAAAAAACTTATGCCACCAATTCGAGCTTAATCGTTCATGATAAAGCAATAAACTCGGGCTAATTCAAGTCATAATTTTGAACCAAATAATCGAAACATTAAATTTTCCAAGCATTTTTGGTAACTCACCAATTAGCAATTACGAGATTGAAGAAATCAGTTCATGGTCAGAGTCGCAGAGCGAGTCTTGTCAAATTCCATATGAAGAAAAATTGACTGGCTATATGTCCATTATTCGTATTGTTCTCATTATAAAACGGTAATCGGCATAATCATGTCAGCTCTTCATTTATATTCATTTAATAACGATGCTTTTAGAGGCAACACAGGCCATTGTTCAGCATGTCAAAAGCAAAATCTTAATAATTTCAAAAATCTTGCAACGGAAGATCATGAGTAGTTATTGCTTAACAGAAGACTCATCACGACAGTAATTCTTCATAAGGTAGATGTTAGGATATTGTGATAAGTTCGCCTCTGTGCTGTGGCAAACCTTTTCAAACTTGAAATGTCGCAACATATGAATACGATTGACTGGCAATTATTTTTTTAGAATTATGTAGATTCACGGAGTTTCGAAGGATAGTCTACGTATTCTAATTTTGCTTCTCAATATTTACCTCTTGGCATGGTGCGCCACTCTTCTACATAATTCGCAGAGATATCAGTGCGAAAGTTATAGTCGAATGTTGTAGGTTTATAAAATAGATTTTAATGCAGAATTTCCAGGATAAAAAATAAAATGCTCCACACGGACGAAAACTCACGACAAACTAATTCATAAACTACAATTATATACGAGGTTATAGTATCATTATTAAGCAATTTAATTCAGATTGAGCAACCTTTTTGTTTGAGCAAATTTTTGAGCAACT